GAACTAATCTACATTCTTCTCAACTCTAAACTTTACTGTTATTTCCCCTTTTTTAAGTTCAACTATAAGTGATTAAGAAAGAAACTAAATTAAAATGGTATGTCTAAGCAATTCTCCTTTTGAACTTTAGTTAAGTTGCTGATAGAAACTCCCTCAAACTTACTGTTTGCTCTTAATCACTGCCTTGGCTCCATCTTGATCCCTATGAATTATTTCATCATTTTTAAAAGATGGTGTTTGATTTGAATTTACACAACACCCATTTTGTCAAGGTAACATGGAACTACAATTAATTAAGCTTTTAATTTCATTTTGGAAAGGAAATAAATCATACCATATGACACTGCACCTCTACTGAAAAACTAAATTCCATGTAAATGTATTTTGTCCTCTTTTCCTTTGTAGAAATAATGTCACACACACACACACACGCCAAAATCAGACTTTTCTTATTGGTATGGTACTCCACTGAAATCATCAACAAGCAACATCTCAAAATGGCTGCATAGCAGGAATGCAAACTACTTTCGACTTGTTCTGGAGCTATACAATTCTGGGAGACCAAGCTTTAGACAGGGAGATTAATTTGTAGAAAAAAAAACAAAAGAACTGCGGATATGGAAATCTAAAACAAAAACAGAAGTTGCTGGAAAATCTCAGCAGGTCTGGCAACATCTGTGGAGAGAAATCAGAGTTAAGTTGGAAAGCATGGAGAAAGATGCTCAAGCCCTAAAATTATTGAACGTGATATTAAGTCCAGAAGGCTGCAGGGTTCCCAAGAGGAAAATGACATGCTGGTCTTCCAGCTTGTGTTGAGCTTTGCTGGAGCACTACAGCAACCCGGAGAGAGAGATATTGGTCAGAGAACACGGTAGTGTGTTGAAGTGGCAAGCAACTAGAAGCTCAGCATCTTTCCAGCTATCCAAGATCCAAACACACCTTCCAGATGAAGCAGTGCTTTAAATGCACTTCACTCAGTCTAGTCTACTGTACTCACTAAGCACAATGTGGTGTCTGCATTGGGGAAGCAAAGCGCAAACTGGGTGACTGCTTTGCGGAACACCTACATTTTGTCTGCAAATGAAGACCCTTATCATCACATGGGCTGCTACCACACACACTACCCATTGTCAGCCACTAATTGTCCCCATTAGCAGCTATTCATCCCCCCAAACTGACCTTTAACCACTATTTGTCTGTCCAACTGTTTTTCTCTCTTTTTGAGCTCTATCTCCACCTATCGTTTACTCTTCCCCCACCCCATCTTCTGTATAAGAAACATCCTTTTCCTAGCTACCATCAGTTCTGAAGAAGGGCCACTGGACCCAAAACATTAACTCTGATTTCTTTCCACAGATGCTGCCAGACCTACTGAGATTTTCCAGCAATTCTTATTTATGTTTCAGATTAATTTGTAGCTTGTAGCAGCTATCAAGAATGGTCCAGAAGCATTGCTTGTATTAAGGACTTGAATTAAGACAGTACCAAAAGATTCATGTTGATGAAGCAGCGACAAGAAAGCCCATGGAAATTCCTGGATGAGTCACAGCTTAAACTGAACACAACATGTACAAGAAGAGTATTATATAATCTTGTAAAGACCATTTTTTATTTTTGTGATTTTAAAAATTATGGGCTGAATTGGGGAACAACTGTCTGAAGAACTGTGTTTTGAGAAGCAGGCAACCTGACACTTCTGGCAAGCATCATATAATGGGTGGCACGGTGGCTCAGTGGTTAGCACAGCTGCCTCACAATTCCAGGGACCCAGGTTCAATCCCACTCTCGGGCAGCTGTCTGTGTGGAGTTTGCACATTCTCCCTTTGTCTGCATGGGTTTCCTCCAGGTGCTCTGGTTTCCTTCCACAGTCCAAAGATGTGCAGGCTAGGCGGATTGGCCATGCTAAATTGCCCATAGTGTTCAGGGATGTGTAGATTAGGAGGGTTATAGGGGATGGGTCTGGGTTGGATGCTCTGAGGGTCGGTGTGGACTTGTTGGGCCAAAGGGCCTATTTCCACAGTGTCGGGATTCTATGAAATTAAAAGGGTCACCAGGCCTAAAATGTTAATTGATTTTTGTTCACAGATGTTGCCAGGCCTGCTGAGTTTTTCCAGCAACTCCTGTTTTTGTATAAGTAGCCATTTGAACAAGCAGCAATCAAGTGGAACTGAGGGATTCTGTGTACAGACACAGCTGGGTAGCACAAAGATAATTGGTCAACGGACTAGTGGCCATTTATCGATGATTATAGCCTTTTCCTTGTCAGCAACCATATGACCAGTTCTCAGGTAACTGAAGAGCTTAAACAAGATAGAGGATAAGTGTTTTGATTTCCAACAGCACAGAAGCTGTCCTGTATGTTGAGGTCAAAACCCATTTAAACCTGAAGAAAATCAGTTAATCTTTCCTTCAGCAGTTGATGTAAGCTGTAACTTTTAACCGATAAGTTTTATCTATAACTTTTATCAACAATCAACCCACCTTTGTGTCTCTTGCATACCAGCAGAAGCACCCAGAGAAAGGCAACTAGACAACAACAACATTCTGACCAATGTAAGAATCACGAGAAGCATTTCAGAAACCCATGAATAGAAACCTGAACTGTCTTCTAACTTTCCTTCACCCATAGCCTGTCTGCGTGTCTGTAAGGAGAGAGTTTATAAGGGGATTAGTGTTTTAATGTATACTGTTGTTTGCAGACAGTTTCTAACTGTTTACTTCTAGCTAGAACATAATTACTTGTGATTACTTGGTACAGAAAGATGATTCATGCTTTCTATCAACCTGGATTTGAAAATTAGGTAAATTGGTGAATTTTGTGCACTTATTTTTAAAATCTCTAATTTTCATAACAACTCAAGGAACAGTAGAACTCGATTTCCAGTGCACTACTCCATTGAGCTGTAACAATGTATAACCACAATGTGGGGTTTTCAGTGGGAAGGAACTAAAACAAAACTATTCTGTAGCTTGGTATATTAGTTGCTTAATAAATTCTGTTCAGCCAATCTTGATTTTTGTGTTTATAACAGTAAAAGTCTTAAAACATTATCTTGTCATGTGACCCTTCATGAGTTAGTTACTAGAAATTCAAATTTTAAAAAATGTTATTGGTCTCCACTGGGATAGCAACACAACATAAACTTTCTAATATACAAATATACTTCTGAACATAGCCTTGTTACGGTGCACTGGGTTTGTGCACTGATTAGTTGAGTCCTGCTATTTCTGGAGTCATGACAAAAGCCAAAGATTTTATAAAGTATGCAAAGCTCCTCAATTTACCTGACTTTCAGGCTCAGGTTGAATGAACACTCAGATCAGGTTTCTGTGCCAAACACGAATAATTACCTATTACAAGTAATCAGACTTTGGCTATAGATAAAGAGTTATAAACCACTGTATTTAACATTACTAATTAGAACTCTAAAATCCCCCTTACATGACAGACAGACAGAAAGACAAATAAGCAAACAGGGAAATTAGGCTATTGTGCAATATGGGAAAAAAACTGTACAGACAATTCACTAGTTTTTGTTCCCAGTTACTGCTGTTGAGATGGTCCTTATTACTGTTCTGCTGGGCCTGGTGTTGCTTGCGTCATCTTTCTCCACATCCTTTCACTGGTTGCTAAGAGACACAAGATGTCTGGTTCCCCTATTTAAAAAAATCTCTGATTTATCATTTAAAAAGTCACAGCTTAACGCAACCATTACCAGAAGGATAAACTGTTTCTTTTCAGGTATAATGAGTTTTTGACTGCAGAGAACAGAGTTCTCCTGAGCAGGGGAAATCTGACAGTTTTCTCTTTCTCTCTGTAACTTGTTCCCAGCTGTAATGGGTATAGCCCATCAACATTAACTTGTTTGCTACCAAACTTTGATTACGGATTGTTCAAGCAGCTACTGATATGATGCCTGCCATGAGTGTCAGGTTACTTACTTTTCAAAACATACACAACTTGCGAATCCCTGTTTTTTTAAAAAAGCACAAAATTAAACGACACTTAAAAGTCTGTCTTTATAGCCTCCTAAAGCCAAAATCGTGAAATATTTTGAGGCAATAGCTAAAATATACTGCAAGAGAGTAAGACAGTTCCAGTTGCAGTGTTCTTTTTTTGCACCTGTTTCCAGTTGTTTGAGGATTATGCTCATAATATATTAGATAAAGTGATTGAATGAATTGTCTCTTTATCACAAAAGTAAACTCCAGTTATGAACATAAAAAGCACAAAATATTCATCCTGTTAACACTTGCATTTGAGTGAGGAGTAAATGTACAAGTTGCAAATTTACAGCTCCCAAAAAAGTAGCTACTATCATGTTTTGTGTACACTTTCATGTGGCCAATTCCAAATCTAAACATACTTAGTTATTGGCTTTGTATCATAAGATATTGGATACAAAAGAAAATCATGCTGAAATTGAACCTGATCTTAGAAAGTCATTGGAGTATTGTACAACTGTTTTGGGCATTTCATAACAGAAAGACGTATGCATTCAAGAAAAAAACTTCACTAGGATGTCATCAGGTATTAATGGTTGCAGCTAAAGGTAATACGGAAGTAAACTTGTATTATTAATATGAAGAACAAAAGGTGGTCTAATCAAAGTTGGAAAAGAGTTACAATAAAATAAAAACAGGTCAGTCATTTTCACCTTTTAATTACACCATTAGATCATTTAGACTTAAAACTAATACGTAAACGTTTGAAGGAATAGATGAACAAAATAAATGCCTTTTCTGTTTTTTGTCTCAAGTAAAAGATAAATGTTTAGATTCACAGTAGAAATCTGTCTCTTTAGTTCCTTGACAGAAAGATGACAATTGCTAAATAAATCTGAAGCTATTCTTTTGGTATGTGTATAATTCTCCTTTATCTTGCATTTCTTACAACATCAGTAGTTGTGTAATAATGAATGATACCCTCTGGAAGTCAAATTATGCCTACTGTAACATTATCCCAGTGGTCAGAAAATGTTTCATGTGGGTGCTCTTACCTGGATATGGAATCTTTCCATATGTGACTATTTCATATAGGAGAACCCCAAAGGACCAAACATCTGACTTAATTGTGAACGATCCATAGCTTATAGCTTCAGGTGCTGTCCATTTGATTGGAAATTTAGCCCCTGAATCAAAAAATATATTTTGTTTATATATTATATTTTAGTTTGAGACGCAACTTGCTGTAAAGTGAGGAATAGTTAGAACACTGAAGAATGTCATAGTACAAGGATAACATAAATATGTGTAAATATGATAACTTAGCACATATCCTTTCTTCCACCCCACCCTTTTACCATTTAGAAAAGAAACCGAGGAACAGAGATTGACAAAATAAAAGTAAGAAAAAAATCTGGACAATAGTCAAAAGGTCTTAGAATCAAACAAGTTATATAAAAGCTAAATAGAAACTAAATTTTTCCACTCAATTGTTGTCACAACTTTTCATCATATCATGGCTTTGTTCTAAATTATTTCTATATTCCATGGTGATCTTTATGACAAGGAGCATGGTCGTTATTAACACCAGAGGTAACCTCTTGAACAGGGGACAATTTTACCTATCTTTGATCATTTTCTTTTTTTGTTATGTGCTATTCCATTTAAGTGAAATTTATTGTTTATTAATGACTGTCTACAGAGTAAATGTTTGAATTAAAATGTTTAAACAGTGACAGGGTACAGAAGATATTAATGTAATTTTTTTCCAATATCTGAAGAATACTTTACCCAGCATTTTCATCACTAAGAATCAATCAAAACTTTGGAAAATGTATTCAAATTGTCCCACATGTGAATCAGCTTCAGTAACAGGGCAGCTTTAAATTATCTATAAGAAAAGCTTTCTCAGCTAAGTACTAGTTAAAAAACAAAGATAAAAACTCATTAGATGAAAGGCCCCATGATCACAAAGTGATCACAACCAGAGAGTTCGGGTAGAATTGTATTTACCTGTGTTTGCAATCTTGCAATCTAAACTCATACTTAAGCTGTTAGAAACAATTATAATCATTTTGAATCAACTTGTTCAGGCATGTTAAGACATACCTCCATGGCAGGTGGGACTTGCAGGGATACTACCACTGCACCAGAAGATCACTTAAGACAGTTTGATGCTCATGTCATCATGGCTTCCAGTGAAATTCAGAGATATTGACTAAAATTTGTTAGCAAATGTTTGCCATTGTTTAACAAGCAAAAACACTCAAAAATGTGCTAAATTTTCAAAGTGCAAGTGAGAATTCTGATTTAAAAGCTTGAAACAAAGTTGTGTAAGTTTACTGACTTTCAATCCATTGGCATCTGCAACAACTCTACATGCTTTCTCTGACAAAGCAAGCCATGATCGTCAGTGTGCTGATACAGACCTCTACCAGTACACCACTATTAATCCTCCTAAGGTGACTGAAATATATGTGAATACTTGAAAACTCAGATATTCTTCTCATACAATGTTTAAAACTCAATTTTTAACCATTTTTCCTACATCAAAAATCACGAATTAATGCTTGAATAATTGGTAACTGTTTTTAACCTGACATCAAATATTAAAATATAACAAATTCTATCACTTAGCTTCTGCATTTATTTGATAAATAATGCACAAAATTAATGAATTTGTCACTTGTTTGATTATTTAAAATTTTAAAATAGTCAATTCAACAGAGTCTGGAAACAATGGTTACAGGACATTAAGGCAGCTTGGATACTGCACGTAAACTGAAAATAAGCCCCTAGATTGCCATTAGAATCCACGGAGTCTGGAAAAATTTAAATGAAGCACTAGCCTAATTAAACCCTCCGAAAATAATATAAACATTGCTTATGCCAGTTCTGTCAAAATTACAATTAAAGAGAGAGGGACATTAAGGAAATTCTGATTCAAATTCCTGAAGGGCAAGTAAAAATGTCAGTTACCTTTCAGTTTCATTTTATAATTGAACTTTTAATTTTAATTATACCTCATTTATTACTAAATGTCGTTATTTTTAAGTTTGTAGCTATTTTATTTAATTAAGCATTTGAAAAATTCCCATCCAGTTTCCAGCACGGACTTTTGAAATGTACCTTCTTTGGCTGTGTATTCATTATCTTCAATTATTCGAGCAAGGCCAAAATCAGCAATTTTACACATCAGGTTTTCGGATACCAAAACGTTAGCTGCTCTAAGGTCTCGATGGATGTAATTTTTTCTTTCAATAAATGCCATTCCCTCTGCAATCTACGATAGAATACAATGTTTTTTAGTAGATTTGTAGCTCGGGTTGTTGATACAGTTGTCGACTTGCTAGCCAAGCTGGTAAGTTTGTTTGCAGACATTTCATCACCATACTAGGTAACATCATCAGCAGGCCTCCAGTGAAGCGTCAGTGTTCTGCCCAGCTTGCTATTTATGTGTCTTCATTTGCTGGGGTGGGTGGCATCACTTCCAGACTTGTTTCTTAATGGTTGGTGTATGGGGTCCAGCTCTACATGTTTGCTAATGGAGTTCCGGTTTGAGTGCCAGGCTTCAGGAATTTTCATTCGCGTCTTTGGTTGGCTTGTCCTAGGATGGCTATGTTATCCCAGCTGAATTGGGGTCCCTCCTTGTCCACGTGTATTGAAATAAGTGATAGTTAGTCATGTCTCTTGGTAACTAGTTGGTGTGCGTGAATCCTGATGGCTAGTTTCCTTCCGATTTGCCCTATGTAATGTTTTTGGCAGTCTCTGCATGGTATTTTGTAAACAATTTTGGTTCTGTTATTTGTGGTTGTCGGATCCTTTATTCTCATCAGTAGCTGTCGCGGTGTAGCTGTCGCTTTGTAGATTTGCAGCTCAGCTTGTTGATGTGGTTGTTGACTTACTCGCCGCGCTATCACGTTTGTTTGCATACCAACAAACAAACCAACAGCAACACTACAACACTGACACGAATAAAGGATCTGACAACCACAACCAACAAAACCAACTTTATTTACAAGATACCATGCAAAGACTGCCAAAAACATTACTTAGGACAAACTGGAAGGAAACTAGCCATCAGGATTCATGAACACCAACTAGCTACCAGAGACATGACCAACTATCACTCATTTCAATACATATGAACAAAGAAGGACACCAATTCGACTGGGACAACATAGCCATCCCAGGACAAGCCAACCAAAGACATGCACGAGAATTCCTGGAGGCCTGGCACTCAAACCAGAACTCCATTAAGTAACATGTAGAGCTGGACTCCATATACCAACCACTAAGAAACATATCCAGAAGTGATGCCACCCACCCCAGCAAACCGAAATACATATAAAGCAAGTGGGACAGAACACCGATGCTTCACCAGAGGCGTGCTGATAATGTTACCTGGTATGGTGACAAAATGTCTGCAAACAAACTTACCAGCTTGGTAAGCAAGTCAATAACCGCATAGAATACAACATTTTAATAGAATATGATAGAATATTTTAGAAAGATTGGTTGTTGCATGTTGCAGCAACAAATAATACAAATATCTGATAATGATAATTTGCATAATATGCAATTTCTGGAAACTGAATAAAATGTAACCCCAGTGCAAATTTTCAATAACATTAATAAATGAAAAAGTATGAATGCAAGAAGTCCTTGCTTCAATCAGGGAGTTATAATGGAATCATGTCTGCCAGTCTCCTCCAATGCTGATCATAACAACGTATGTGGCACAACAGAAAAAAAATACCAATTTTCGGGAATTATTAAGTGCCCCGGCCAATATGGGTTCACATGCAGCTGGCAATATCATTGGCAGGAGAACTTGACCTCTTAGAATACTCCTCCTGCAATATGTGGGAAATCAGGGTCACTTTCACTGTCCATGGTGACCACACATGCAGGAAGTGCGTTCAGCTGGAGCTGCAGATGGACTTACTGTGGAGCAATCATGATGCCGGGAATATCACGGATAGCACATTTAGCGAGCTGGTCACACTACAAGTAAGGGCCACACAGTCAGAAAAGACTTATGTGACCACTAGAAAGACAAGTAGGTGTGGACAGGTAGCACAGGAGTCCCCTGTGGCCATTCCCCTAGCAAAAGGTATACCATCTGGAAGCAGCTTTTTTTTGGGTGGGAGTGGCCTTTCAGAGGAAAGCAGCAACAGCCAAGTTTGTGGCACTACGGTTGGCTCTGCTGCACAGGAGGGCAGCGCATCTGTTTGCAAAGCATGTACATTATGCTCCACTGATATTTAGATTTGCAAATGTTCATTTTCTCAGTTCCCTTTTCATGTTATGGTAGCGGGAAGTTTGACCACATTGTTACTTTTGTCTTTAAAGTGGGTGTGTTTGACCAAATGAAACTTAAAATTCAGTACTGTAATGGCCACAAATCTTTCTAAAAATATTAAAGAATTCCAGAAACTACTTTTTTTAAAAAAAAGTTCTGCCACGGTGTTGTGGGTAAGATTTGCATTTGTTGCCCATTTCTTTTCCTTGAGAAGGTAGTTCCACATTGTGTAGTTCACATAGTGAAAGCACTCCCATAATATGGCTCGATTTTGACCCCAAAACAGTAATAAAACAGTGACATATGTCCCATTCATGCTGGAGGAGGACTTGGAGCTGCTTTATCTTGGGCACCTTCATCCTTGTTCATGTGCATGGCATTTTGAGAGGACAGGATCATCCTAAATTATGCAAAAACTAGCAAGCTAACTGAAACAGAATTGCTCTGAACTTCTAAAAACCTACTTCTGCAATTTCTATAGATTTTTTAAAGTGGTTTCAAGGATTGTTGCTTCACCGACAAGACCATTTGTTGCCCATCCCTAATTTCTTTGAACTAAGGGGCTTGCTAAACTTATGAGGGCAGTTGACAGTCATCAGACTGCGTAAGGATGGCAGATTTCCTTCTATGAAGGATATTGGTGACTTAGTTTTACAACATTGTTAGCTGTCACGGTCACCATTATTGGGGCTACGTTTATATTTCAGTTAGTTCAATTATATTTCAATTAATAAATCTGAATTTAAATTCAGGTAATATGGCAGTGGGTAGGGCTTCTGAGCTCCGTCCCCTTTTCTTTTTGTTTCTTTTCACTTTTTCTTCTCTTTGCTCATGTTTTTTTTCTTTTTTTTTTTACTTACCTTTCGTTGAAGAGCCTGGTCATTGGCAATGGCGTTGGCAGTGGCAAGTGGGCCCTGTGCAGACACACAGTCAGCAAATGGGCCCAGAGTGGACTTGAGTGGACACAGCGTGGACTTGTGGCGGTGGGCAAATGGGCCCAACTTGGACTTGAGTGGGCCCAGTGCCAACTCATGGCTGCTGCATTGGAGGAGTGTTTGGATTCCCAGTGGCATCTGCATCCAGCAGAGATTCATGGAGGTGGCAGAATTGAATTTGGGCTGGTGCGGTACCTAACGGTATCGGTGGCACCTGCATTGGCAAGGTCTGGCGAGAATTTATAGTAGAGGTGAGATAGCACCAAAGAATGGTGACTTTCATTCCAGTAGCAGCGGTGCAGTGAAGTTACTGCTGCCTGGCCACTAGGCCCGTGGCAGAGCACTTAACAAGAAGAACTGTAAATTTAACCACTTTGTCTTTATTTCTTTATTCTTCTGCCTTTATATTCTGTATTTTGTTTTATTCTTCTGTGTCTTAAGATGGCGCTGGAGAGTGACGACACTATACAACACTTTTCATTGTATTTTGTAACAAAATACACGTGATAATAAATACATAAAATCAAATTCCATAAGTTGCCTCAGCAGGATCTGAACCAGTGCTCCCAGAGCATTAGCCAGTAACATTACCATTATGCCACCAACTCCCACAGGAAATAGAACACATTTTATGCAGCCCTGTCAATTTATTGACTTCAAAAATTCTAAACATCATAATATTTCATGCTACACTGGTTTGTCTCATCCAATATTTCACAGTCTTTGACTAACATTTCTGCATTGTCTTCACTTTCGTGGAAACATACAAAAAATAATAATTTAGTCACTTGTGGATCACAGACTGTTTGAGAGCATGGAGCTGATTTTCTTTCACTTAAACGAAGTATTCACTGACATGCTCTTCATAAATACTGCCTTTCTTGGGTGATGTGGAAGGGGTGGAGGACATTGTTTCATGTGATCCTACCACACAATTTCTTATGGCAACAGGTGCTTTCAAGGATCCACTGAAGACATACATGGGATCTCTCAACCACAAATATATCAAAGCTGCTACCAATGTAGTGTTTGATAGATCACTGCTTCATCTTGTTTAGGCATGAAAAGCTGGGTGCTACAGCCCGGGTAATAGACTTTGTGTCAACAGTTGATTTCCATCTGAGTGCAGGGTGCTACAGACTGTACACGCATTGCATTGAGAGTGCTATTTCATAATGCAGCAGACTTTATCAAAGAAACTGGTTCCATCCTATTGACATACAATTCAACAGTGATCATCAGGTACCACAGTATGTGCTGGTAGCCTGGAAGCTGTTATGATGTCCAGATCATTGAGAATGTTTCAAGTCTGAATGTCTCACAAAGATGCTTACTGGAGACATGGGTGATGCCTTCATTATATCCAAATGACACTGAGTGCAGATACATTGCGTCCCATTGTTCCATCAAGGCCCTTATGGAACAGATAATAGACCTCCTGAAAATGAGATTCTGATGCTTGGGTCAGTGCTGGGGTAGATCCTTGCAGTCCAGTCCAGACAAAGCTTGTTGCATAATCCTAGCATACTGTGTTCTGTGCAACTGGAGCTGGCAAACAGGGGATGTGATAGACTCTGAAGAGCTGGGAGAGCAGCAGTAATGTTTCCAAGAGAAAGATTAGAACATTGAAGAGGAGGAACATCAACTTCAGAATGACAGAGTGCTGCAACATTGGATAGAATAAGCCAGACAGGACCTAATTGGCAACTTCTCCCAGTAAATATGACTTGGGTGAAGTTATCATTCATTGACAAGTTTGTTGTTGCTCAAAAGACAAGTCACCCCTTGTTTGGTCCCAAAAGCAAATGCAGCTCTTTTCCTTTGTTTATCCTTCACTTTTGTTTTAATTCAATAAAAGTTAACTTTTTCAACTGTTTAAAGGCACCCAGCATAGATGTTTCCCACATTAAACAATGACAAGATTTTATGCTGATCTGAGCATTAGGGAAAGAGTAGCATTTCCTTAGACAGGGTTCTAACATGGTATGTCACAAAGGATGGACAGCCTGTGCAGCTAGATTCTCATAGTTGTAGTTATTTGCAACGAAATGCCACCTGTGCCACCCAAGTGCCCTCAAAGCTATTCTTTTTCATTTCCCTCCCACTAGTTTCATCATAAATGATTATTTGTGGCACCATTGACATGGTACACGGTATGCTTTAAACATGGGACTGACAGTGAAATTCTGCAAAATCCTCATAACGGATAGTATTTCTGCGACAGATGGACACAAAAAAACACAAATGATGTCATAGAGAAAAGTCCTCCATGAAACTCCCTAAAATTAACACTCCTAAAGTTTTGTTAAAATTCAGCCTGATGTTTCTAAATCTTTTTCTGAGGAAGGGTCACCGGACCCGAAACGTTAACTCTGTTTTCTCCTCCACAGATGCTGCCAGACCTGCTGAGCTTTTCCAGCAACTTTGTTTTTGTTTCTAAATCTTTTGTTTGGCTGTCATTGGCGGTCCTTCGCAGACAAGGACAACTCTCTTCCACAGTCAGGGTGAGCCTGTACAGACTGATGCGGCTTCTGCAGGCTCTGTTACACTTTGGCTATTACACCTTTTAAGCTTGTCACTTGTATTGTCTTAATGCAAACTAAGAATAATTATCACAGGAAATCATCTCAACGCTTCATATGAGTATAATAATAATAATAATAATAATAATAATAATAATAATAATAATAATAATAAACAAAATCTTGATCCAAACATGGAGGTGGAGAGAGATTCCAGACTGTGGGGCCAGAAGGCTAAAGGTATAACTGGCAATAATGGGGCAAAAAGATGGCAATGTGCTTGAAGGCAGGTAAAAGAGATTGGGGGGGAGCGGTCAGGCCATCATGGAACATAAACAAAAGAGATAAAAATTTAAACTTGAAGCATTTTGGAGCCAATCTGAGGGCATAGGTGACAGTACCCTGTAAAATAGCTAAAGCAGAGTTATACAGGATCCACAACAGATCAGGTAGATGGCAAAGAAAGAATTGAGAGTTATCAACTTCTTAATTCAGCACATTAAATCAGCACATCTCATTTGCACAATATGTTAATAGACAATATCTTCAAGGACCAAGATCTAGTCTTTTAAAAGTCAGTTAAGGAGCGAGAAACAGATTGATTTGAATTCCCCTTATAGCAGCTTATATCAGATCTGACAGACCAGAGAAATGTTTCCCATTTGATCCAACCCTCAGTTTTACTGAAAGAGTTTTGATAATCAAGACGTAGCAAATGCTTCACTTGGAACATGAAATATTTTTCAGCAGCTTTGCAACTAAGTGTGGGTGGGAGAGAATCTTGCCTGCCTAATTGTTTAAGAAACATTCTGGGATCATCAGAGATAGTAAGAACTGCCGAAGCTGGAGTCAGAGATAACACAGTGTGGAGCTGGAGGATCACAGCAGACCAAGCATCAGAGGAGGATGAAAGTTGATGTTTCGGGTTGGGACTCTTCTTCAGAAAATGAATATTGCTTTGCAAATCTCCCTTAAACTTTACCCCTAACCTTGAACTTGTGACCACTGTAATTGAAACTTCAACCCTGGGAAAAAGCCTCTGATTATCCACCCTATCTATGCCTCTCATAATTTTGTAGACCTCTGTCAGGTCTCCTTTCAGCCTCTGTCTTTCCAGTGAAAACAATTCTGGTCAAAGCCAACGCCCTCAAGATTAGGCAACATCCTGGTGAACCTTCTCTGTACTCTTTCCAATGCTTCCACATCATTCTGGTAGTGTGGCAACCAAAACTACACACAATACTCCAAATGCAGCCCAACAAGGGCTTAGGCTAGCATTTTAAGTGGATCACTTACAATGCCGAACATGCCAGGAGCATGGAAGGTTATGGAAATCACTGTAAAATTCAAAGTCAATAAAAACTTAAAGCCAACATAATGCATTTGATTCCCACCAGATACAACATGCAGAAAAGAAAAATTAGGAGGGGGAATGCGATGGCATCTCCAAGATACAAGATTTGTTATTCCCTTTCTCTTCCATTCTGGTATTTGATTGAATTGATATCAGAATATGAATCAGTGAGAGACTGGAAACTCTGGAGAATCTTTTACCTCCTGACTCTCCTAAAAACTTTCTACAAAAGCACAAGTCAGAAATATAATGGAATATTCTCCATTTGTGTCGATGAATGCGGTTTCAATAACACTCAACCAGCTTCGCACATTCCAGCACAAAGTAGTCAGTTTGTTTGGCATCCCATCTTAGACCTTCAAAATTCTATCCTTCCACTACTGACACATGGGAACAGCAGTGTGCACCATCTACAAGATGCACTGCAGCAACTCAAAGACTCCTTTGACAGCAACTTCTAAACCCACGATCTCTACCACTCAGAAGGATGAGGGCAACAGACGCACAGGAACACCTCCAACTGCAAATTTCCTTCCAAGCCCCACACCATCCTGACTTGGGAACATAATCACACAATCTCAAAATTCCCTCCCTGACAGCACTACAGATGTGCTGACACCACATGGATTGCAATGGTTCAAGAAATTAGTTCACCACTGGCTTCTCAACAGTAATTAGTGATGGGCAAGAAATTGTGGCTAAGCCAATGACACACATGTTCTTTGAAAGAACAAACAAAATGAAGCCAAAACGCAGTGGAACAAGTGCAACGCAAAGGAAAATCTTCCCTGCAATTATCCAAGTCTAAAAGGTCCAAAGGACCAATTGAAACATTATTGGCAATTACTACACACGTTATCATTTTGGGAAACATGAATTCATAAAAAAAGTCAATATCAAAACCAAAAAATGTGCAAGAGTTTGCATGCACAATAATTTTACAAACATCCGTTGATCCATTAATTGATTAATCATTGATAAATTAACACACATTCAGCCACAAACATTTCACTTGGCAAGCAGAATTTTGTTGTTAAGTTATAATGTACAAAAATAACAGGAAAAACATGTAAAAGAAAATTAAAATTTAAACAGTTTCCAGTAAAGGTGTTGGCCTAATTTGAAATGAATGCCACTTCACACATCACAAATCTGTCAATGTTAGTGCAATGTTTCCTTTTGTTTTTTAAAAAGCAATTACAGAAGTCTGAAAATGGGAAGGGTTACTGCGATACATTGACAATTTGCAAGAAAATGAGGTTATTTTCAAAACCAAGAAAACTTCAGTAATGATGAGATATTATCATTAGCGTTTAAAAGATTTAAAAACTATCAAATGTTAAGTTAAAATTTGGAAGGTAAGTCGAAGATTAATCCTCACAAATCAGTGGGGTGTTCGGTAGAATGGCAGCAATGCAAACATTGAAATGTTTAGGCGTAGCAAGGTGATTTGAGGGATAGGACATTTGATGTTGAAGAGAATGGATATTGTTAGACTTTTTTGGATGAATGAATTATGATGGTCCATGTAGCCTGGATTATAGCAACAAATACAATATAATTTAAACAGGTCATTGGCCCTGATATTTAAATGAGAGGTGAAGTGGAGCATGGTAGCATGGGAGGAGCCAGGAAATCCCATCAGCATGAAAGTCATGCTAATGTTATCAGAAGGATCTCATCATTTTAAAAACATAATTCCTGAGCTGAGTCAGCAATTGAAAGGATGGAAAAACATTGAAAGGTCACACGTTCAGAGGAGGCGACGAGAAGAGGAAAAAAGATGTTGCCAGATTGTAGTGCAGAAGGCTGCAATCAATGAAAGGTTTCTCAAGTGATGGGGGAAGCACTTCTGTTTTCCTGACTCTCAAATAGCATCTTAAGAACACTAAGTTCCCATCTGTATGTACCTATAACAGATCTCCTCAGCCTGGTGCCTTACCAGCAGCTGTTAAATTTTAAGCAGGTTGCAAAGTAGGAGTTGGATTTGAGTAGCATAATATAAATAATATACATAAATATATAAACAAGACATGACACAGATACACCTCACAACCTGCCAGTGTAAAAATTGTGATAAATGTATAAGAAGCTCATTTAGGTTGAATTTCATAATTCTACACTCTCAGCCTTCTTACAATCTTTAGCTTCCTGCCATGAAGTTAGATTTGGGGGTCCAGGTTTGTTTCAATAATGATCCCACTGTTTTGGAAAGAACAAGAAATGGCAACAAATGCAAATTCTGATCCAATAAATTAGATGTTGAAAGGAAAAGAAAAAAGGCATTTATTTGCTCTCTTTCATGATTTTACAGGGCGGCATGGTGGGCTCAGTGGTTAGCACTGCTGCCTCACAGCGCCAGGGGCCTGGGCTCAATTCCACTCTCGGGTGACTGTGTGGAGTTTGCAAATTCTCCCCGTGTTTCTGTGGGTTTCCTCCGGGTGCTCCGGTTTCCTCCCACAGTCCAAAGATGTGCAGGTTAGGTGGATTGGCCAAGCTAAATTGCCCATAGTGTTCAGGGACAGTAGGTTATTAGGTAGGTTATAGGGGAATGAGTCTGGGTGTGATGCTCTGAGTGTTGGTGTGGACTTGTTGGGCCAAAGGGCCTGTTTCCATACCATAAGGATTCTATGATTTTCAGGCATTCCAAAACACTTTTCATCAATTAAGTACTTTTGTTTTTGAAATATGTAATAAATGTAGGAAATGAATTTGAATATTTTGTATGGAAATTTTATGTGGTACTTAGAATTGACCTTGAATACAGTTTCTTCTATTCACAATGACAAATGTATTTTCTTGGTTACATACCTGTGCTGAGAAATCAATCATTTTAGGCAATACAAGTCTTCTCCCTTCATCTGTCTTCAGGAAATCTAGCAAACTACCTGTGATTGTAATAAAAAGTATTTAGGCAAATTATACATTTTAAAGTAACACAAAAACTATTTTAGATAAAATTCAAAGTATTTCTTTCATTTGCAACAATAATGTAGTTCAATGATATCTATAAACATTGATGTTTTAAAAGAAGTAAATCCTAAAATAACAGCACATTTGAGGGCATTTAAATGCAGCTGTCTTTGAGGAGAAGAAAAATCATGCTTCCAATGACAATTTGACAATGACTAGGCAACACTAAGCAGTTATAATTTCTGTTCCATTTTGTATAGCCAGGTGAAGAGTGAAATACAGATTCTTTAGGTAAAGAAAAGCAATAGAAAAGTCAATTAAAAACTTTTTGTAAGAAGCTACTTTAGGCTCTCTAGAGTTGGTGGGGGAGCAGAGAGTGAATAATAAGGTAAAATAGAGCGGTCACACAACATTAGTTGAGCCCTATTGCACTTAGTGACTCTCACAATCTGACCCACACAGCATCACTGGACACCTACAATAACTTTGAATTCTGCAACCACTTTACTACATTACAGATCATACTATGGTTGAAGACTTTATTCTGCTAAATATTGTGATAAGATGCAAATTAGGGAATACAGTTTTCCACAAAGATTTTCTTGTTGCTTTCAATATTTTTACAAATGAGTTGCATCTGTTTACAGACTCTTAAGATGCCATAAATTATAACAAAAACAGAAATTGCTGGCAAATACAACGTATTGTACTTTGTTATCGTACATATTTGGTAATGAATTATAGGAGGAAAATTTTCTGAAATGGATTATTTAAATTCAGTTTGACTACTTATTATTCATATGCGCTCAAAACACACTCAGTGCTCTTTGTAAATTTTTGAAACAGAAAAGGTGAAGATTAATGGAAGGTAGAATGGGTAGAAAAGTTTAATCCTGTATTTCAAAAAACAAACAACAGATCTACCGAACCTACTGGATTGTTCCACAGTAAGCCTTCTTCTAAACCTGAAGATTTGTAACCAGGTTTGATGTACACTTGAGATTAATGGGTTACTTATCATCCCCAAATTAAAAGATTGTACTTGATCCTAGTGTTCAGACTGACCATTGGCCATAAATTCCGCAATAATGTAAATCGGATCTCCTTTAGTAACTACTGCATAGAGTCGCACTAATCGGTCATGTAAGAGTTTCTTCATGAGGTTGGCTTCTTCAAGGAAAGCTTCCACAGACATGCTGCCTGGTTTCAAAGTTTTAACAGCTACTTTTGTAGAATTTTTATAGTAACCTAAATAAAATAGAACAGATATAATAAATGAAAGATGTTGATAAAGAAATTATGATTTATTAGTTTGATAGAGGTACCACAAATCATTTTAAGCTATTTCAGCATAAAATGTACAAATTGAAGTCAACATGGTTAGTAGACAACAGAGATAAGGGAGACCATGTTTAATTCATCCATCTAAATGACAGTCTTTCATTCTAACTGCCCCTTGCATCACTTGGCTCTTCAAAATGTTGATCAGTATGCATTACATCTAATTCTTCCTGACATCACTGACGCAGATATTTACAGCACAGAAGGCGGCCATTTGACCCATCATGTTTGTACTGGTCAACAACGATCTGACTACAGTAACCCAGTTTCAAGCTCTTCGCACACAGTTCTGGAGGCTTTAGCAATGTAAGTGAATATCGGAATGCTGCTTAAATGTTGTTGCGAATTTCTTACTCGACCATCCTTTCAAGCAGTGAGCTCCAGACTCCTAACACTCTCTGGATGAAAACTGTTTGCTCGACTCCCCTCTTAGCACCCTAAATCCATGCACCCTAGTTATTGACTATTTTATGAATGGAAAGAGTATTTTCCTACCCATCTGCCTATGCCTCTTAATCTTATTTGCCTTTATCAGGTCCCCTCCAAACCTTCACTGCTCCAAGGAAAACAATCCCAGCCTACTCAATCCTTCCTCATAGCTCAAAATCCACCCAGCCAGGCAGTAGCCTGGTAAATCGCCCCTGCACCCTTTCTTTAATTGTGGTGATGGCAACATGAGTAGACAACAGACATAAAGAAGACCATGTCAAACCAATTTATCCCATCCATTCAAATGATAGTCTTACATTTCAACTCCCCTTTTACATCACAAGACTGTTAGTTGAATACCAGAATTTTGCTTTACTTTCCTTACACAAAATCAGTATGCAGGCAACCAGAACTGCATGCAGTACTCCAGTTGTGGTCTGGATAAAATTTGATGCAGTTCTAGTATATCATCCTTGCTCTTGTATTCCATACCACATATAAGAAAGGTAAGTATCCAAATGCCATCTTTAACCAGCCTCTCTGCCTGTAGACAATGGCATCTCATCTTGATTCTTTTTATAAATTTGCTTTTATACCATATCTATTGGTGGTATGATTTCTTTAGTTGTTGATAACCAAAACACAGTGGTGTTCAAGATCTAGTTTGGTTCCAATTCTTTACACTTTTACATGACATTTTCTTACTTTTACTCAATCAACTTAGCAATAGAAATAACCCTAACCCTATTGCAGCAATAACAACACTGTAATGCATTAGACTCAATATTAACCTTAATAATTTTGGATGATAATCTGTGTCCCTTTGTCCTTGGACATTAAGCGCTCGTAATGATGCTGATATTATGTACAGCTCTTCCAAATTCATCATTTGTTTCTTTCCTTGTTCCACTATCATCTCTCTTGCAGCATCATTCCTAATAGGATTTAACTTCTGCTACCTTCTGCCCCATCACAAACCTTTCCTCTTCCCCCATTCTTATATTTCAAAAGCTGTTCCGTCTCCAATGTTTTCCAGTTCTGATGAAAAGGTTAGAGATTGAATGTCTTTCTACATTTTCTCTCCATGATCACTGCCTGACCTGTTAAGTATTGAGAACTTTGTTGTTTTTGATTACCTTCACCAGTGACTGCTTTTGCCTGTTTGTTATTCTGAGTCTAGAGCCGTATAGGACTGAGATGATGAAAAGAGTAGTGAACCTGTGGAATTCTCTGCTACAGAAGGCTATGGAGGTCAAGTCACCAAATATATCCGACAGATAGATACATTTTTAGATTTTAACGTCATCAAGGGATAAGGAGAGAAAGTGGGAATATGGCATTGAGACAAAGGATCAGCCATAATCATAGTGCATGGCGAAGGGCAAAATGGCCTATCCCAGCTCCGAGTTTCTATGAATATAAATAATACCTCAAAAACAAATAGAAATATTACCTGTGGATTATCTTAGCTGCTGTGGTAGAATTTGTCACAGCTGAAAATGAGAGCAGTGTTTTCAGAGCAGGCAGTTGGATGTAGTTTGACCTGAAGCCTCTTCAGGAGAACAAAAACTCAATGAAAAGATTCATTTTTTCAGGTTTGTAGGTAGAGTTTCAACCAGATAGAAAAAAAAGTTGCAATGAAGAGCTATTCAATTATAATCACATTGACTTAAAACAATGTGGTGGAGATGTGCACTCTACTGGGTGCCCTCCTCATTTGTTTAGCATCGTGTTTATTTTGTTTTATTACCATCGCACTGTGATTAAATGCGTGTCAAATCAACCATCATGCCCAAGCCTCTTCCTGTCTCAGTTATTACTACCATCTATGAAATATATTTGGGACATCCAGTTTCCTACTAATTCATTACATTATACATGTGACAGGCTTATTGCAGATTATATCCAACTTCTTTTGTAGGTAACAATGTGTAGAGCTGGATGAACACAGCAGGCCAAGCAGCATCAGAGGAGCAGGAAGGCTGATGTTTTGGGCCTAGACCCTTCTTCAGAAATGGGGGAGGGGAAGGGACTTCTGAATTAAATAGGAAGAGAGGGGGAGGCGGATAGAAGATGGATAGAGGAGAAGATAGGTGGAGAGGAGACAGACAGGTCGAAGAGGCGGGGATGGAGCCAGTAAAGGTGAGTGTAGGTGGGGAGTTAGGGAGGGGATAGGTCCGTCCAGTGAGGATGGACAGGTCAAGGGGGCGGGATGAGGTTAGTAGGTAGGAGATGGGGGTAGGGCTTGAGGTGGGAGGAAGAACAGGTTAGGGAGGCGGGGACGAGCTGGGCTGGTTTTGGGATGCGGTAGGGGGAGGGGAGATTTTGAAGCTTGTGAAGTCCACATTGATACTATTGGGCTGCAGGATTCCCAAGCAGAATATGAGGTGCTGTTCCTACAACTTTCGAGTGGCATCGTTGTGGCACTGCAGGAGGCCCAGGATGGACATGTTGTCTGAGGAATGGGAGGGGGAGTTGAAATGGTTCGCAACTGGGAGGTGCAGTTGTTTAGTGCGAACCGAGCATAGGTGTTCTGCAAAGCGGTCCCCAAGCCTCCGCTTGGTTTCCCCGATGTAGAGGAGGCCACAACGGGAACAGCGGATACAGTATCACATTAGCAGATGTGCAGGTGAACATCTGCTTGATGTGGAAAGTCTTCTTGGGGCCTGGGATGGGGGTCGGGGCGGGGTGTAGGGGCAGGTGTAGCACTTCTTGTGGTTGCAGGGAAAAGTGCCAGGTGTGGTGGGGCTGGAGGGGAGTGTGGAGCCGACAAGGGTGTCACTGAGAGAGTGGTCCCTCCAGAAAGCAGATAAGGGTGGGGAGGGAAAAATGTCTTTGGTGGTGGGGTCGGATTGCAGATGGCGGAAGTGTCGGAGGATGATGCGTTGGATCCGGAGGTTGGTGGGGTGGTACGTGAGGATGAAGGGGATTCTGTTTTGGTTGTTATTGCGGGGAGGGGGTGTGAGGGATGAGTTGCGGGAAATGCGGGAGACACGGTTGAGGGCGTTCTCGACCACTGAGGGGGGTGATGTTGCGGTCCTTGAAAAACGGGACATCTGAGATGTACGGGAGTGGAATGCCTCATCCTGGGAGCAGATGCGGCGGAGGCGAAGGAATTGGGAATAGGGGATGGCATTTTTGCAGGAAGGTGAGTGGGAGGAGGTGTATTCTAGGTAGCTGTGGGAGTCGGTGGGCTTGAAATGGATATCGGTTTCCAGGTGGTTGCCAGAGATGGAAACAGAGAGGTCCAGGAAGGAGAGAGAGGTATCAGAGATGGTCCAGGTGAACTTAAGGTTGGGGTGGAAGGTGTTGGTGAAGTGGATGAACTGTTCGAGCTCCTCATGGGAGCACGAGGCGGCGCTGATATAGTCATCAATGTAACGGAGGAAGAGGTGGGGTGTAGGGCCAGTGTAGCTACTGAAGAGGGATTGTTCCATGTAACCCACAAAGAGGCAGGCATAGCTTGGGCCCATGCGGGTACCCATGGCCATGCCCTTTGTCTGTAGGAAGCCGGAGGAATTGAAAGAGAAGTTATTGAGGGGGAGTTCTTTTGTAGGTACCTGGTTATTCCATTTATTTTGACGACCCCTTCTCCAAATTAAATTTCATCTGTGAATCAGAGTTTGGATTGTAATTCAGTGGTAAAATTATTGATTATAGATCAGGAACAGTAAATAACACAACCTGTGGAAGTCCATTGAGAACACCATAACATTTTTCCATTAACTTCTTTCCTTCAGCTTATTTCTACCCTTGACCAAGTTTTATTTAGAATCTCTGCATATTTAAAATTGGTAACATCCTTTTCTAAGGAATTTTATCAAAGACAGTTTTGAAATCTGCTAACACAACGCTAGATGGTTTTCCAATATCCATGTAAGGTGTCTCTACCATGAGAAAAGTCAAGGAATGTCGAAACAGATGATCCAATCCAACTAAAATTATATTACCCTATATTCAATAAATTACTCATGTAGACATATAATTCAAAATTTGCTCCTAATTATTGATAAAGAAATAGTTAGGTGCTGTCTGCCACTATAAGGGGGACAGGATTGCATCATTAAGGGTATGGAAGAGATTTACAAGGATATTACCAGGATTGAAGAATTTAACTGGCAAAGACTGAATAGACTGGAATAGTTTTTCCTGAAAGGTTTTTATCCTCTGAAGGTTGAGGGAGGTTTAATTTAAGTATTATAAAATGAGGGTCCTAAATAGAGAAGATAGAAAAAACCTAATTCGGTTAGCAGAGAGGTTAATAACCAATGGGCATAGATTTAAAGGAAACGGTAGAAAAATTAGAGGGAGATAAAGAAGCAAGCTTTTCACATAAGTGGCATTTAAGAATCTGGAAATCTTTTCCTGAAAAGTTGGTGGATGCAGAAACTCTCACAAAGAAAGTGATATGCTGTTTGATGAGCTAGAACGTGTAGATCAAGAACTAAACTGTGTGTTTAGACTGGCTAGCTTTTGAG